GTTACCCTTCGGTCAACTCGAATGTCCAACCTGAACGATGTTTCCATTTATGATATATCCGGTACTGATTTCGATCTCAACAAGAATTCACTCTTGAATTGTGCGGGTATTGAATATTAAGAGCTCGTTTGGTAAAGATTAAAATCCAATTAAAATTGAAAAAATAGTCATTATTGGGTCTCACTCGTCTAATAAAAGTCAACAATAACGACTAATTTTTCAATTTTAATCCGATTTTAATCTCTATCGAACACCCCCTAAGACTTGAAGTTTCATCTTGAAAAAATCAACCTTATTAAGGGAGTAACGTAAACCTTTTTATGGTGATCTACATTTTCACATTTATTCGAGGTAAGATTTATCTTTTAACATGCCCGACATGACGATGGTTCGTTTGACCAATCAATCTTAAAATTTGCATGCTCATTTTTTTAGTTTTAATCCGACCGAATTGCTCGTTGGGATTTAATGAGTTATGATACCATATTAAAAGGACTTGGTGTTCTATTTTAAAATATCAACCTCATTAAAATGAGCAGTCTAAACTTTTATATGTTTGTCTAAATTTTCATTGATATTCGATATGAAATTTATCCCTTAATGTTGCAGCCATTGCCATTATGAAAATGCTTAGGGTTCAACCTGTTTGCCTCTCTCTTTCCCTTGAGAAAGGTCTTTCACTCGGCAGTGGCCTCGGCTCCATTACTAATGTGTCTGTTGTTGCTGTAAATGAATTGTTCAGTAGGAAAGTTATTGGTATCGTAGCTTGCCCTAGTCGGGCTTGAATCGGGGTCGAAGGTGTCTAGTTATCACGCGGACAATGTAATTCCATTCATCATGTAAGGGCAAGGATTGGGCCATGATGTTTGGGGTGTAGGCGGTGAAGGTCAAAGTGGAAGATATGCAACTGACAGTTTGCGGTGGACATGGTTGAATGTGAGTTGTGGTGTGACTAAGAAGATATTTGTTTGTTTTTTTTCCTTGTTTTCTGTTTCTCTTTTTTAATTATTTTAACAAATTGGACATGTTCGATAGAGATTAAAATTGGGTTAAAATTGAAAAACTAGTCGTTATTGTTGACTTTTATTAGACCAGTGGAACCCAATAACGACCATATTTTCAATTTTAATTAGACTGTAAACTCTACTGAACAGGCCCTAAATGTTGAAGATTATTTTTAATTTTCATTAAAATTATTAAATGCACGTCAAATGATGATTTTTTGTTAAAGGTTTGAGATCCATTAGCATATTTTTGAAATGTATGGAACTTTTGTTGAAAATTTGCCTTAATATAATGACTCAAACACCCTTTATCAATTATACTTTCACATGTAGAGCCCGTTTAATTTGTGGGGCCCACACTAATTAGAGAGGGCTGGAAGCCCTCTAATGACTGTACAAGTGGGTTTTTTGTTAAAGGTTTGAGATCCATTAGCATATTTTTGAAATGTATGGAACTTTTGTTGAAAATTTGCCTTAATATAATGACTCAAACACCCTTTATCAATTATACTTTCACATGTAGAGCCCGTTTGGTACCGATTAAAATTCAATTAAAATTGAAAATATAGCCGTTATTGGACCCCACTCGTCTAATAAAAGTCAACAATAAGGGCTAGTTTTTCAATTTTAATTTGATTTTAATCTCTACCAAATGAGCTCGTAGTTTGATTAACTGGACAGAACATAGCAACTTGATCGTGTAATCCACGTTCGCATTCACAAGATCTTCGTTTTCAGTTTCAGATCGTTTGATCGTGAAGACTACGCCTTTTCTCATCGCTGCCTTTTTTGTGATCACCCTGCAAAAGTTCAAAGCCAGAGCATACGTAGACTGTCATCTACTATGCACCGCTAAATGCAGAATTAGTTGTAAGTCTGCAGTGGGAGTTTGTGCTAGTGCTAAGGATACACGAGACAATAGCTATTATGTTAGTGCTAGTAAAGGAAGAACAAAAAGGATGAGAAATATCGAACCCGAAGAACAAAAAGGATCCAATGAATTAATGTGCAAATTTCTTTTTATATTTATCAGTGTAGCTACCTTAGCTGGGAAGAGTAATGTTATCTATGGTGAAAACTATCGATGGTCGTTATACGTGGCAATTTGTTATTTGATACACGAGACAATAAAAAATTAAAACATTAATGCATTAAATAATAAATCGTTACATGTATGTCATGTAAGACGATTATCGATA